TAGGAAAGATTCACAAGAAAATAGTTCTCCAAGACATACGAACGAGCATGAGAATTTTGATAGTAACTCTGATTATGATGAGAGGCCTAATGTAAATCGACATAGAGATAACGATAACAAACGTAGCAATACAAGGGGAGGTGGAGGTGGAGGAGGTACATTAATATAGTAATGTATTCATATTTATTTTTTATTTCAATGTTAGTTATAATTATTATATTGTGTAGGACGTAGAGGTGGTAAAAATGAACGCGGCGGTAAGAATAAAACCCGTGGGCAAATGCGTAACGATAGAAATGGACGAAGAAATCAAAATAACGATCACAATCAAGATCCAGATGCTATATGTGTTTATTACATGCAAGGAAAATGTCATAGAGGAGATGATTGCCCTTTTTCACATAATGCTTTACCACCTAGAAAGATGGAATTATGTAAATTTTATCTTATGGATTGTTGTGCAAAAAGAGATAAATGCCTTTATATGCATCACGATTTTCCATGTAAATTCTTCCATACAGGATTAAAATGTAATCAAGGAGAAAATTGTAGATTTTCTCATCAACCTTTAAATGAACAGGTACTTATTATATTGTAGCTTTCCTTTAATTAATATAAATTGAAAAATTATATAACATATAGAATACTATTATTTAGGTAAAAGGAATTTTATTAAAACACTTAGAAACAGCACCCAAAGAAATTCTTGGTGATTTTCCACGTTTAAGTAGAGAAGGAGCAATGTTAATGATAAATAATACAGCGAGAACATTAGCACAAGGTCAAGAAATCACAAATCAAAAAATTCCAAGTCTTTTTGAGCTTAATATATCAGCACCAACTACTACAGAAAAAAATAATGAGAAAGAAGAAAAAGGTATTTAATAATATGTTTATGTATACTTTTATAATAATATATTTATTTATACTTTATGCACGTAATAGTAATATAACTTCTTGTATAGAAGAACAAACACAGCAACAGAAAGGTGTTAGAGAAAGAAAACCATCAGGTAAAAAAACCCGATGGGGTTCGGACGAAGATAGGGTTCCATACGAACAAATCATGCTATTACAATCAGCCAATGAATTTGGTCTACAACTTCCTAATGCTGCATTGGGTTTAGCAACTCAACAGCAATTACATCAAAAATCATTAGTATCTCAATCTATGCCAAATATGGATTTTTATACTGAAACTAATAACATAGAATCAAACAAAACAAATTTAAATAAAATTCGAGAAAGAGAAGATTTTACAAAAGACGTAGAAGAGGACGAAATTTTAGAACAGGTACAGTAATTGTAGATTTACTTCATATAACAAAGTTTTTAATTTTTTTGTAATGGCTATATTTTTATATTTTTTCAGGCAAAAAAGAAAGATACATCATTACTTGAAGATTCAAAAGACGTAGATTTAAGACAGTTATTAAAGGCGAAGAAACCGCCACCTGTCGTTAGCATAGCCGATGAAGTAGCAAATCTTACTAAATCTAAGTTCGATGAAGAAAGTGATCAAGATGAAGAAACAGATCTTATTATAGAAATGCCAATTGAAGATGATGATAAACAGAAAGATAAAGGTATAGATCAAGAAGGTGAGACAAGCTTTACTTATTGTATGAAATAAAATTGAAGACAAAGGAGTAAAACGAAAAATTACCTAAATTTTTACAGAAACGAGTACTGTAAATGAAGAAACTAATAATCAACATACTTCATCACCGTGTACTGAAGATCAAGAAATACCAGCTCATTTACCAAAGAAGGCACAAGAATTGTTTATGCGTATTCAGCAACAACAACGAGCAGCTCAAGACAGTTTCAAAAATATAGAAAATGAGTGCTCTGCACGAAACACGGATCAAATTTTAGAAGATTGGTACTCAGATGATGAAGATGATGACGATGATGAGGAAGGTGGAAATCTTACGATAGTACTTTCTAATAAGGACACATCAAAAGAAGAAAATGAATCTGCAGAAAAAACACAAAATATTGTGATTAAAGAAGAATTTCAAACTATATCCTCTGCATCTAGCATACCTCAGCCAGCAGCTATTGTGGACAAACTTGGAGATTTAAGTAAAATTGACATTAGTGCCGAGGTATCAAAGTTGCTATCGTCATTAAAGGCACATAGTTCAACAACTAGTAAGTCTGCTCAGCAAAATATTAATACACAAGATTATTCTTTAAAAGTTAAATCTTCACCGGACAGAATGTCGTCAGATGAATTAAACATTCATAATAAAAATATTACTACATTTAGTACTACAAATCAGTTATCAAAAATTGAGAATGAAATGTCGAGTCCACGTTCCTCACCTGGAACAAGTTCTATACCTGTATCCAGAGATCCACGCATGTCTCGAGATCCTAGACAACGTAGAGAGGAACAAAAATCAAATAGTCCTAGTAGGATAGATAATAAAAAAGAATCTAAGCATCTTAGATTAGAAACAAGTATCTATAGTTCCGGTATTACTGCTGTTGATACTAATATGGATACGGATCTTCGAACTAAAACAGATCAAGATCTTCGAAGAAAAGATATGGATTTCAGACAACAATTTCAAACTGGTTTCGGAGACACAGATCTCCGAGTTGTCGGAGCAGGATTCACCGATACATCTACTAAATCTGATGTCGATTTGCGACAAATGTTAAGCTTGCCATTTAAACCGGCACCGTCGCACGTACCTTGCACAGAAATTGATGCAAGCATTTCTTCACATCCTCCAATGACATATAAAGTGTACGTTGTTGACATACCAAGGCCCGATTACACAGGTCTTAAACTTACTAAGAACGATGCGCAAGTGAAATACGATCCGCGATTACGCAAAATTTTTAGAATCGGTAAAGTTGAATTAGCTGATTCTCCTATGTCTCCACCTCCAGTTAAAATGGATACTCCAAAATCACCTCCGCAAGTTCGATCAGATCCACGTCGAAAAGCTCTCGAGGCTTCCAATTTATCTTCTCAAAATGTAAATGCTTCCATGATGAAAAATGTTCAACAGTCATCAATAGAAATTTCGAACATGGGAATAGGTCCTGGAGGAATGTCTGTTCCTCAAGGTATGCCTGGGCCACAAGGTATGCAAGGACAAGGCATGATGCCGATGGGTCCAAGTCCAATGCTTGGAAACATAGGCCCAATGGGATCTATAATAAGTACACCTATGGGCCCTCAAAATATACCACAAATGAATATAACAGGAATGTCTAATATGCCTCCAGGAATGACCATGAATGGACCAGTTGTGCCTCAAAATCAGATGAACTTCGACCCTCGTTTTAATGTTCAACGCAACAATGGAGCTGGGTTATTAGGTCCAGCACCTGGTGTAGGTTTTGGACCAGATGTTAATTCTTCATATGATGGTGCATCAACATATTCTGGTGGTAATTTCAATAACTTTGGTCCTGGTCCTGCTCCAGTACCTCCAGATTCTAGCATGATGAGCTTCAATCCGAATGGTCCGAATACAAACTTTGGAATGGAGGGACCAGAGTGGAATGGGACAAATCAAAATAGACGTGGTGGGCGAATTAGACGACGAAATCGAAACAGGACCAATATTGTGACTAATAATTAAGGCAATAAGCAATTTTGAATAGGTACATAAGCATAGTACCTGGTGATAATTCTCATTGTAATTTAAATTTGTACAGCATGCATTAATAATAATGCATTCATTTATGGCGGTCCAGATTAATAATTTTTTGATCGTGTCAATTGTACATGGTGTCAAATGTTCGCTAATGGTTAAATAGCAAAGTATAAATTTAAGTTCTTGAAAAAAATATTAAAAATTGTATATGAATTACACACTTTCAAGCATTTCATTGAAGTTCATGTGAAATATACATACCAATGAATGGTGTGAATAATGCTCATAATTGCGTGACATTCTATATTTTATTTAAAAAATATAAATCATATTCTACACGAGAAATATATATAGTACATCTATTACGCTATTAATAGTAAATGAAATTTTTTGCGGGAATATGTATCTGTATATATTGAACATCTTCATCCATTTAAAAAGACATTTAATATATAAGATGTGATGAATGAAAAATCGTTTAATTGTATCGATTGAATTATGTCTTTTTTTATGTCTTCCATGTATAGTACACAACAGAAACTACACGTGCGCGCGCACATGTATTTGTGTGTCTGTGTGTGGGTGTATGTGTGTGATGTATATGCACATAATAGTTTTGGCTTCTAGAATGCATATAAATTTTATTAAATTATGTTTAAACAGCATCAGAGCAACAATGATTAATCATTAAACGGCCTAAGGCCTATTATCATAAATTGGAACACCAATAAAATGATATAGTACACAATCCAGTATAAAAATGCAATATTTTATAAAAAAAAAACTAATGTATTTATAAGAATTTTGAAAATAATTGTACATGAACATACTTTTTTACTTACATTAGAGGAGATATAAATTGATATCAAAAAATCTTTCATTTAAAATTTTGTAGGGACTGCAGGTTAAATATGTATTTAAATAAATGTGAACCTTATAATAATTTAGGTTTTACAGTATTAGTAAAATTTTTATCCCATAATCACATTTATCATTTATGTGATGCAACTATATATTCCATCTGTTAATATCAGATATATTTCTCTGCTAAAACACAGATTAAGAAATACTTCCTCTTTGAGAAAGAACATTAAAGGCAGTACATATTCAAATTAAAAGAATTATTCAGTCGTCGTTCAATATAAACCTATGGATATTTTCTTTTATTATTATTTCTATGAAGCTAAAAAATAAAAGTTACATTTATAAAAAATAAAGTTTACTATCATATAGTCAACTTTTTTTGTACAATTTAATTATTAATTCTAATATATTTTTCTATTATTTTTCATAACATTGTAAACAGTGGTTGCATTTTCCTACTTCACTTTGTTTAAAATACAAATATTTTAAATATGGATATAAAAAATGATAAAATTTATATAATATACAACCTGTGTAAGAAATTGTACTTTCATTTGACTATAATTCACTGTTACAAATTATTATTTAATTATTATTGTTATTATTGTTACTGTTTAATTTTACTATTTTTAAGCAATAGTAATTATATTTGTAATAATTTTTCATTAATGTACAATAGAACTTAAAGGATCAGCTCTTATAGCAGATAGATCTAAACGTGCATCCATCTCGTCATCCAATTCTCCTACAATTGCTCTAAAACAGAATAAAGAATGCTATTAAAACCTTTTATATTTCTTGTAGTTATATTATTTATTTACAGTTTTTGATATTTAATTAAGAAATTAGTATATAATATAAAATATAAATTAATAATCATCTATTTTTTATTGGCTATTTCCTTTATCTATTTAAACTGCCAAAATAAAAATAAAATAAACATTAACTGCCGTTTCATATATTTATATAGTACTATATGTAAATTAAATAATATTACATGATTAATATATAAATTTTGTATTATGTATAAATTACACACATTAAAAATGAATTAAATTAAATTACTTACACATTATCACCTCTGATGATATGTAAACCTAATACTACTTGTTCCACACCTTGAGTTGTACTATATACACGTTCATGAGATTCATCTAATATTATGTTAATAGTCTGATCAAAACCTTTTAATGTTCCCTGAAAATATAAGTATCTTATAATTTTATATAACATACAAAGAATTACTGTGCATTTTATGTTAAAAAAAACTGATGTCTTTGTAAATATGAAATATAAAACAAAATATTTAATCAATTATAACAGATACATTTTATTATAACTAATAATATATGCATAAAAATATATGACAATAATTAAAATATAATGCCGTTAAACATCCTACATAAATTAAAAATAATATACTTACGATGAAGTTTCTACCATCAGAAGTAATAATAGAAACAGTGTCTACGAATTGTTAAGGATAAATAAAGAAACACTAAAAATAAAATAATGAATGAAAATAAAATAGATAAAGGATACGATTTACGTAACTTTCTAAACCTGATGCCATAATCTTAGTTATTAATTACACATAAAAATAATTTTTACATAAAGATATAATATGCTTTACGTATCTATATATATATATAAGTATATATATACTTATATATATATATATACTTAACGTCTGTATAGTAACAAATACGTATCAATTAATTCGCTATTCTATAAATACACATTACTTGATTATGTTTTGATTAAAGATTATATTAAAAATTATTTATTTTAAATTTAATATTAAATACTAAATCATACGATCTGAAAACTAAATGAGAGCACAACAATTCACTGTTAATTATTTAATTATTGTTACGATTTAAAGTGATTGGTAGCGAAATCGTATAACGAAATAATATAAATATAATTCTTCTTTATTTTACCAAATTATTGTTTTAGTTTTAAATATATTGTGTGAAAATACAATATATAATATATTAACACTTTAATTCTAATGCATAATAATTTAAAATAAGAAACTTAAAATGTGCTTGAAACACAATGATATACTTCAGATGAATTTTGATAAATTTAGGAACGCACGATTATTATAGCCTTGGTGCAGAATTATTATTAAAATAAAAAAATAAATTATTTTCTATTTTTTGAATATTCATTTTCTTATAGAACGTAAAAAATTCGTATTATAATCTTACATAATCAAAACCTTTAGCTATTTTTAAAATTGTTAAAATATCAACATCATAATATAATTTGAAATAATAAAGTACATATATTAATTTATTAAAAATAAAATACCAATTTTATGGCCATATTTTATTACATTAACAACATAATTTACTTACTACAATTTTTTTTGTAAAGTATTTTATTGTAAATTGCTTTGAACTGTCTTTAAGATTTATGATGGCGCGCTAAACAGTTGCTTCTTGTGTACTAAGGTTTATTTAATGTTTATCAAACAGTATGGACATTCAAACAACAAATACACGGAGAAAAATATTAAATCATGTAGTTTGTAGTATTTTAGTGGAATGTGGTTATGATACTTGTGAAAAGCAAGCATTAGAAATTTTTACAGAAATGCTACAGTCGTGTAAGTATTTAAATTAATATTAGAGTTTCTAACCTCTTAATACTCAAAATCTTAATCATTTTTATACTTTTTTGGTATCATATTATTTTTTATCTTTTACTTTTTTTTAAATAAATATTTTGTTTTTTTAATTTATTAGGGAAATACAATTTTACTATATTAATTATATATTATTGGTTTTGGCAAATAATGTTATAACTATTAAATCTACAAAATGACTAAATTATTCAGGAAATTATTTTAAAAATTTATTCTATAATTAATAGGATAATGTAGTTTATTAATTTCATTTTTTAAATTTATAACACATGTATAAATTGTTTATAGTTATAGTAGAAGTTGGAGAATCTGCAAGAAATTACTGTGAACTTTCTGGTAGGACAGAACCACTCATTGCAGACGTTATAGTAGCATTAATAAATATGGGTGTAAAGTTAGATAACTTGGAAAGTTATGGGAAAAGAGCTAATAGAACAGTTTTACCACCACTTCAGCAACAAACCCAATCAAAGCAGTTAAATATTTTACAGGCTGGAGTAAAACAAAGTCACCCATCTCACATACCAAGTTATTTACCACCTTTTCCTGATCCACATGCATATATTAGAACACCGGTAATGTACAATTATGAAAATGAAAGTTTATCTAATTTTTCCAGAAACTTATACAATTCATGCACTTATTAATATTTTTAGTTTAACTGCAATATTTATTGCACATACAAGTTTTCAATTTTAATCTTTACTTACTAACTTAATTATAAATAGACACATAAACAGCCAGTAACAGAATATGAAGCAATAAGAGAAAAAGCAGCAACTCAAAAGCGTGACATTGAAAGAGCCTTAACAAGGTTTATTGCAAAAACTGGAGAAACACATAGTTTGTTCTTAACAGAAGATAATAGTATGTTTCCATGTAAGTAAAAATTTAATTCGTAAAAGCTAATAAATTTATATACAAATAATATATTTAAAACTTAAATTTCATTTTTAGTAATATCATGTAAACCACAATTTCCTAGTTATCTTTCTGCACTCCTTCCACAAGATCAAGTATTTGAAACTGATCAAGATTTTCAATTTGAACCAAGTCCAATTAAAAAGAAAAAAGAACAAGAAATTGAAGAATCAGAAGAAGGTCTAATTTAATTCTAAATAAATATTAATAAATTTACTTTTTTATTGAAAATGAGTTCATATTTTTTATATTTATAGGTATGAAAGGACAAAATGAAGATGTTGAACAAAATGGAGAAACTACAATGCAACAAGATGCTATAGATAATCCTTACTTAAGACCTGGTAAAATACCAAAGAACAAAATGCCAGGAGTTACAGCAACTGGATTACATTCAATAAAGAGAGATTCTCTTGAATGATAACAAGCAGTATTGTTTTGTTAATTTTATTATTTCTTAAATTAATATTGTGTACATAATGCTGTTATAATACAAAGTATATTTCACAAACTTTTGTATTTGTATTGTATAATAAAAATTAATCTTTATTATAAATAGTTTTATATAAAATTATTTTTAATAATATCACTAAAATTAATGTTACATACTACAAATATTCCAATTTTATTTTACGAATTCATATTTAGACTAGTATTAAATCTACAGTTTTTCTTAATGTATATATTAAATTGATTCCACATATTTGGTTTTACATTGCTCACTCTTACGTTATATTTTAATATATTGTATTTATATTGCACATATATAGCACCAGTTTGAAAAAAATAAGAATAAGAAGATAACTATATAAGTCCTCTAAAAGGGATGATTAGGTAAAACTTACAAAAATAGATTTCCTCATAATATTGCATGTAAGGTTTTCTACATATGAATTGCAGTAAATAGCATCTATTAAAATTATATTTCGGGATTTTCACTTTGCAAAAATATTGTATTATTTTGAATTAGTATGATATATTAATAAATGTAGATCAAATATTATTTTTTTCATTAATAATTGTGCTAATTTATGTGTGTGTGCGCGCGCGCGGGGAGGCATTATACCTTATTACTAGTGTACATAAAAATATATGCAAATTGGTAATTTGTATAAGGCATAAGCTCTATCATCTCTAGTTTACTTTTCTATTTTTGTAATGAAACCATATAAGAGAGATAGGCTTGAAATTTGTTAATTAAGCATTCCCTCAAATATTTCATCTGAAAATACTTTTCGATTATACCTTTTAATGATTGAGATATGTTTCTCAATTCATGTGAAGTATCTTTCTAATATTTTTCACTATCTCATTTGTTACACTATAAATTATAGCCTTTGCGAAATGATTATGATATTTATCAGTACATTGATAAGTATAAATCATATAATTAGGTTTATATTACTAAATATTTTAAGTAATATCATTCAAACATTAAAAATGAATTTGATTACAATCATAAAGTTATATAACTTAAAATTTATTGCATTTATTTCTGAAAATTTATTGTGTAAATTTATTATGAATAAAAATTTATATATTTCAAATTTAATTATGCATTCTTTTGTTAATTAAATCAATTTTAAACATTTAAATGGTATTTTTTCTTAGAATACTTTCGTAATATATAGTGTGGAATCTGTCAAAATGTATTTAATGTTAAGAAGTCTTATCGTCTATCATACTTCACTTTCATTATTGCATTCATTAGTATTGATACCAAGGTTGTCGTCGCACCCATCGTAATTTCATACCTGATGCAGTACGTATTTTTATACTGGCACACTCTGCTGCACGGACAGTTTCTTTTACACTTTGCATGAGATTCTGTGCATTTCCAACTAGCATATCAGTGGCTTCCTGATCTTCTTCTGTGCCTACATATTTAAAAACATTTTAGATACAAATTAAACATTAAGTAAATAAGAAATATTTAATCAAAAATTAAACTAAAAAGAGTTTTTAACACATTTCATGGTCAAAGGGAAATAAGCATAAGATAACCAATTTAAAAGAGTACGTATGCTAAATTTAACAACAAATTTTTTTATACCTACTAAGGGTCCTTGAAAATTCAAATTCTGTTATAAGGAATGTGCTAAAATTAAAAGTATTGATTTCTATTATTTTATAAAGTATATTACATTATATGATTAATATACATAGCATTTAAATAAAAATAGACCATTTATAAATAATTTCAATAAAATAAATATTCAATTTTTTGATATATACATGTTATGTGCTACAAAGTAAATTCTTATTTACAAGTATAGTAAGGAATGTGACATTGTGTAATGAATCTATTATGTACATTGAAAACTACATGCAAACATATGAATACCAATATTCTCTACTGGATAAAATTATTATGTGTACATTCTTGTATATAAAATTGCATAATTTAAAAACACAATTTTTTAAGAGCAATAATAGACTGTGTAAAGATAAAAAGTCATGCAAACAGGACAAAATTACATTGTACATACTAATATTGATAAGATGAACAATACATGTTAAGAATAGAAATTTTATACTAAATAAAGTCAGTTTTACAAAAATAAGTAAAATGTACTATATATGTAGTATAAAATATATATTTTAGAGTAAAATGTTGCTTTTTTAGATATACACAATATTAATTACCACATATTATTTATTCGGAACTATATTTTCTATGCTAATTTGATATGCTTATTTAATGAACTTACTGCAGCCAATCAATTCGTCTACACCATGATGAGCAGAGCCATATTAAATGCAAACCATATGATTCATAAGATATCAACAATTAAATTAGAAATTAGAAAATTCAAAAATAATTTTAAATATATATTTTATAGTCTATTGAATAAAGATATTTCATATACAAATCAACATATTGCGATCTATTAAAAATAATTCTTTTTTATTTAAGTCTGAAATTATTATAGTTGTTCATCAATAAAACTAAAATATGCATGCATTATAATGCAGATGCAAAATTGTGGAATATTCAAACAATTAAAAATAAAAATTTTAAAGAGAATGATAAAAACATCAAGCATAATTTATCAACATTTTTACCATAAAGCATCAACTCTTCCCAGGTGGGGAGCATCTCTATGTATGAAAAATTCTATTAATAACTATTTTTTTTTTTAAACGATTATTTTAAAATATGAAACACCCCAACTTCTATAGTTCTTATCGATATTTTAATTTCAAATAATTAAAATATGTTTTATAATATATTCTAAGTTAAATAATTCGTATACAGTACCTTGTGCACCTAACATTGTAGCTTTCACTGTTGATAATATTTTTAATTGTGTGCCAATAGTAGGTATTCGTTCACAAACTTGAAGAAGATTCTACAAAACAAATATTAAAAGTATTAATTTTGATTATACAGACATATTAACAGCTATAAAAGATTAAGTATATACATACTGTACGAATACGTTTGTCGGTACATTCTCTAGCTAATTCCTTAGCTAAACGTGTTACTTCTTGAGAAGCTTCTGCAATGGCTTTAGCACATGCAATCAGATCCCTTTTATTACCACCCTCTCCTCTAACTAAACCGGATAATTTTCCCATTAAAATTGCCATCTTTTTTGCAGCGGCAATAATTTCATTATCTTTGCTTGACCATTGCCGTACTTCTTGGTGCAAACCATGAGCAGCCATCTAAAATTTTATGAGAATAATATGTTAATTTTATGTTTTTAAAAATATAGAATTCAAAAATAAATTTAATATACCATTATAGGCTGATTAGGTTGTGGTGCATGCATAAACATTTCATCCTCATCATCTGTTTCTGGTGGTGGGGGTCGTGGTGGAGGAATATCTCCACCAGGCAAAGGTGGACGTGGCGGGACAACTTCTGCATAAATTAAAATTGTTTATATAATAATTATAAGAATATTAGATTTTTCCCAAATAAATTAAATTGAATATATATATATATATATATCTATCATTGAAATATATCATATTTCATAATTACCATCATCATTTTCATAATCATAATAATAACCTATTATTTTACGCAGCATTAAAAATATAGACAAATTAGTAGCTTGGAACTATGTATTGATGTAATAATTATTATAGTAAAACATGCACTAATAAATATCACAACTATGCAATTTATTAGAAGACAAATAAAAATCACTAATGTTAAACCACTCAAAATAATGAATAAAATTATATAGAAATTAATATAATAGATGAAGATCATAAATTTATATCAATACATATTAGTACATGAAAAATGCGTTTGCTAATAGAAAAAAAATGTCATGTAAATTATAAAAAGCAGTAAATTATTTAATGCAATGTTTTTTCAAGTATTTAATAATATATATTTGTGAAATTCAATAAAAGTAACTGCAGTGCACTACCATTCTTCAATTATTATTATTCTTTAATAACCAAAAAAATTTTTTTTCTATTTTCTACTTATAAGTATGTATGTTCCATTTTTTAATTTCTATTATTTAAATGTATGAAATAATATATATTTAAATTAATTATGCACATGCTTCTTCCATGGGTAAACAAAGTTTTGAGCATTGAATACTTGCAGTTCCAAACCCAAAAATACTAGCTTTAAATTACCTCCATCATGAACTGATTTTTCTAACTCGTTTTCAGAAGCCAGTTCTTGATATAGGAGATCAGGGTTATCTCCTGACAAAAAAAAATAATTACTTTCATGTCTTCGTATCAGGAAACAATGTTGCTTTGGAAATTTATATTTTAATTTTCATTTTGAAGTATAATATTTATATATATTATTTAAGGAGAGAAAAGAACTAAGAAATAGATTTGGTTTAGAGTTTGGTTGCTTTCTTTTCAAATAATGGTAAATACCTTCACGGGCCCACTTTGGTAATGGACTGATAGAACGATGTTGGGATTTATTTGTGTTTAGACTAGAGCTGATGACACATAAATTGCTTGGTGATGGTTGATTTCTTAAAGGCTCACCAACTAGCATTTAAAGAAATGTTTGCAAATATTTAAATTTTTTTTATCAGAATGGTAAAATAAAATAGTGAAATTATATTAAGATATCTGACTATTTAAAACAAATACTATGTGTTACAAAATATTAAATTTAAAATGTAAAGTGAATTTAGTATTGCACACAATATTTTTGAATTATTAATATTGTTCATTTGTGTGTCTCTAATGAAGTTATATAAGTAGTATTGAACTAGTATAATATGATAATCAATCATGCATAAATTATCTTCATGCAAATGTATAGTACCTTTGTCTATGAAGTAATTATATTGACGGCTTGGCAATTGTTTGTCTGTAAGAAATATGTTGAGGTCTTTTATGTTATGAAAAAACAAATGTTTAAACTGTACCTAAGAGGACATATCATAATAAACAAATTTTATTTATCTTGTTGGATAATCAAAAACTGCAAAAATATAAATTAGTGTATAAGCGAAATAAATAAATTAACATAAACATTTTAAATACTTTAAAGTACAAGTATTTAAACAATGATGACAAAAGTATGAAAAAATATAAATTTATTAAACAATATTGAGTACTTATTCTCAAAGTAATCTAATTTTACAAATCATTTTAGTATTAAATATATCATTTTTACAAAACATAAAAGAGTTTAAGATGTACAAGAAGATGTTTTATTTGCTTACCATCATTAAGGTGTAACTGTGATATCTCTGGCGGGGGTATCAGATCTGGTTGAATTATAATAGCTTTACGAACTTGTCCTACATTAGATAGAAGCTACAATATGCAATAATAAATACATTAATAATACTGATAATAATTAAAACTTAATTTATGTTTTATATTACTGACCGCGCGATTACTTTCCCTCCAACGTGAAATTGCATTACTATCATTAATACTAATTGCGACTGACTTCGCATCTTGAACCATTGGAGCAACACCTAGATAATATAATTTTTGTGAAGTTTAACATGTTTGAAACAATCTAAGTAAACGATTTACGTGAATAATATTAAATAATGATATTGTATATCACTTACTATTTTGAAGAATATCTGTAGCCTGATTTACTCTCTGAATGAATGCAGGATCTTCACTATTATCGCTTTCTTGTTTTGCCACTAGTATTACCCTATTTGCTAATCTGGCAATGGCAGCTGTATTATCAACCATTTTTTGTGGATGGCTTTTTGCAATAGCTTCTTCACATAGAAATGAATGTTTTTGCATTTGTTCTTCAGAAGTTCTAATAAAATCTCCACTATCAGTAGCTTCATCACATAATGCACGTGCTCTTTGCATTGTTTCTGCATACTGTTGTCGTAAATTTTCAAAATGTTCATCCGCCGCTTTGCTGTCTGGATAAGTCATTCTAATTCGCCCAGCATTAATTAATTGTGGTGTTAAAGATTCAACTTGCGAAGCACTTGCAGTTAATGCTTCTGCTAATTTTTTATTCCCTCCACTTCCTAAAATTTACATATACTGCCTAATGTAAGTAAAATAATAATAGAAAACAGATTTATCAGAATAATAATAGTATATTCATACCGCCAGCAGCCACCATTCTAGCTGTTTTTGTTGCTCTATTGGAAAATGTTTGAAGCGCATGTGTTTTATCATTGAAATTTTGATCGCGGCCTGAAGATCCTTCTGGAGCTAATACAGCATCCGTGAACTGTTTTAGAGGCGTCGTTATATCGATAAAATCTTCAACTACTCTGGATACAACAGCTTGTTGTATTCTGTTTTTAAGTTCGTGCAATTTATGTGACAATTGACGAGCGATTTCTTGAGCACGAGGAGTATTCCCTTGACCATGAGAACATAAATCTCCAAGTTGATGAGAAAGATTGTCAACTTCATCACAAAGTTGCAAAATTTCTGCTTTATGTATTCCTGGTAAACCCTCAGCAACCTAATGTTTAGAGTATAAACCAACTAATAAACACGAGAAAGATTAGAAGTTCGTCGTATACATACAAATTATAATACCAACAGCATAATTAGATTGAATTGTTGTTATTAGTTATTAGAACAAATATTCAAACTACACACGTAACTTACACTTGCTACGTGTCGTTGATTCTTTCCGTTTGCGGCATTTAAATTATTAAAATTAAATGGTAAAACTTTGAATTTATAACTATAACGTACCCATACAGTTAATAAAAAGAAAAAAAAATGAAGAAAAAAAGAAAAAATAAATTGTAATATTTAATTAATCATACCTTCTTTCCCTCGTGTATAATTAAAGCTATAGCTTTTTGACCAAGTCCTTTGTCATCGTGTTGTGGATTAAGAAGCCACTTATTTGCTTGCTCTAGACGACCTGCAACTGTATGAGCAGTTTGTGTAGTTCCTGATTTATCAGCAGCAACTATGGCAGAGGCAATAGAGCTGCGAAGTTCATTTGTTCTTTCTTTTATGCCTCGTGCTAGAGCTTCTGCTTGTGGTATAGTTCCTTTAAAAATAAAAATATGAAAGAAGTTAGAGAAAAGATACATTTATGAAACGTATGTTATACTCATACATATATAATTATATAAACCTTTTTCATTTTGTCTTAATTCGCAAAGCCCATTAGTCATAGTAACGATTTGTGAAGTTAATTTTTGTAATGGTTCTGCTTGTGATGGTGGGAGATATCTTTCTGCTAATCGTACTGCTTGTTCAACTATTTGACGAAGACTCTTTTCTCCTATTCCACCACGTAAAGCAAGTCCATCATCCAACCAATCATAAGCAGCTCTTATTCTAGATTCTATAGCACTCTGTGCCTTTTTTAAAACCTTAAAGAAAGAAAGTAGGGGAAAAGGGAGTAAAATTCTACTTTTCATGTTAATATTTCTAAATGATACTCACTGTTAATTGATCAGCATCCCATTCTTCTTCGTCATATGTTGTAAGTTGCAATACTCTGATAATTTCATTTAATTCATCTGACATTCTTCCAGATAAATAATTACGATTTTCAGCTGCTTCTTCTGCTCCTTTACCTCCTTGAGAGATAATATGAATAAATATTTTCATAGAGCAAATGAGAATTGGTGCAAGTGTTTTTACCTGTTACAAATTTCAATTACTGTTGTTTATTGTTAACATTAATAACCTTAATAATTATAATAATAATTATAAATGTATTGATACTAATTATTTCTGTACTTACCTGCTCTAAGCAGCGTACCAAAATTTCTCTGTGCACTTGATGAGTTAACTCTTTTTCACGAGCACTTACTTCTCTTGATACTTTACTAAGGCAAGGACTTAAATTTTTAAGAAAATGAACTAAATCTTCCATTGTTTCAATAACTTCTGTTACTGCTAAATAATCTAGTACTCGTTTACATTCTCTAATAATTTTACGTACTTCACTTTCATCAAAGCATAGTAATAAAGAACTAGTTCCTTGAAGAATCCCACGTGAACCTTCTATAAGCTTTTTTCTAACAAATTGAAAGAATTATATTATTAACTTAATGATTATATTGACAATCTTATAATATGTCTTTTGCTCTATATTTAATACCTAGCTGGTCCAGAATATGGATCATGTTTTAACATAGCTGATGCCTCTTCTAAGAGACGTGATGCTCCCTCAACACGTTGTAATGCAGCAGGCATATCTTGTTTAAGCAAAGCATCATCAGAAGAATTAATTGTTTCTTTTCCTACCTATATATAAATAACAAATTTGAAGAAAAATAAGTAGATTGTTACAGAACAATTTTAGTTTCAAAATATAATTTACCTTCACAAGATTTGCCACTGCCATACTGACTGCTTGTACAGGTCTTCCCAAATCAGGCATTGCATTTCCATCTTCTGCTTCTTCATGTAAGATGACAAGCCGTGAAACCTATATTATATAAATATAAGTAATATAAAATTTCTTATAAATAAGACTCAAAAAATTATTTATATCATTAATTTATATTTTATGATCATTTTTATTTTACACATTTAAAAAACAATAAACAAAAATTTAAATAGACACATATTATTAACAAAACATATAAATAAAAGTATACATAAAAATATGACAATATAAAATAAATTTTTTAATTATCATTTATAGGATCTTTTGATAAAGCAAAATTATATATAAAAGATATACATTTTTGAATGATTATCAATAACAATATATCATAATTTTGAAATAAAATACTTTAAATAATTTTTCATTCAACATTTTTTTTATATATTGACATTTTTACATGTTTATTTTGCATTAGCATTGAAACTGTATTAATTAAAATGTACAAAAGGATATTCAATATAAAGGAAATTAGTAATTCTACATGTGTAACGTGTGGGATGATTTAATGATTAGTAGATTCTTGCATGTCCTTTTTTGGAAATACTAAGTGGTTTCAGTCTAGATGACAGTTTTTCATAACAACCATATGCTGGGATTAAATTTCATATAGCTAGCTTTTAGACTTAAAGATGAATTTAGTATCCCTGCCCTATATTTGTAGAATGATGTCATAGTTCTATATAAAGAAAGACAAGTCACTTGGTAAAACTTTATCAAGATAAATACTATTATTCATAATAATTCATACTATTATACTAAAATAATAAAGTATCCTTTATAATATGTTACTTCTAAATGTATATTTAATAGTATATATTTGATAAATAATTTTAGACTAACAGATTCTTGATATACCAAAATGTTGTAGAGATATATTAAATATAATATATATGAAAAATATTTGTGACATATTTTACATGCATATTATTACAAATAAATTATTTTTTAAAAATCAAATTAATTAAATAGCTTGTTTTATTGAAATAGTGTCTTAGTTTCTTCTTTTTCTTTTTTTTACAAATAAAAAAATTAATTATATTTTTAGAAACACAACAAACTTAATAATTTTCTATATATACAATAAATAAAGAAATAAAAAATTGAAAAATAAATATAATTACCTGCTGTGCGACAGGTTCGAGAATGCTTTCTATGGTTTTTGTATGAAATACCGGCATCTTAATAATTTTTGTCGTTCGAATGCAAAAATACCAATTATCAGAACTTTATATAAATAAAATTACGTTAAAAATTTAATGAAAGAGTTACACATAAAAACATTAACTTAAAATTAAAGGATAAAAGAAATTATTTCACGAAACAATATAGAACAACTCATTCTACGTATTACGACAATAAGAAAGTACGTAACTCTAGCTATAATAGATCACGATCAAGAAATACGATTGTACTATTCGAGAAAGTTATATCGATACATAAAAACCTAGGGAAACAGAGTGGCCATATTTCAATATTCATAAGTTACTAAATCCTTCTGGCAGAATTTAGATATTTTGTAATGCTTATAAACTACATATATTTTCCAGATATAAACAAATAAGGAATTTTTACATTGTTGGTGAATATTAAATGTATAAAATGTGTAAGATTTATAACTTTTAAATTACTAAGTAAACTGAAATCTATAAATTTATTCCTAACCATTATAGTTATAAATTTTTATTTTTGTCAATTTAATTAGCAGAGATTAATGGAATAAATTATGTTACTTCATCACAAAAAATATCGCAAAAAACATCCAAACTTGGTTTATATCTTATTGGAATAACAGGTAGCGCTATGAAAAATAAATTATGTCAATCTACATAAATGTCATTCATTTATGTTACATTTTAGGTGGTATTGCAACAGCTATTAGTGTGATATGTATTCCATTCGTGAGTCCCGCATTTCGTAAAATATGTTTGCCGTATGTACCAGCAACAACTCAACAAGTACAAAATGTATTGCAAGCTTTAGAAGGACGTGCTGGTTCTTTAATTGACCTTGGTAGTGGAGATGGACGTATAGTAAATATTTTACTGTAAAAATATTAATAAATTATTAATCAAGATACACACGTAAGAGTATGATTTTATAAATAGGTTTTTGCAACAGCAAAATCAGGATTTAAAGCCCATGGAATTGAATTGAATCTGTGGTTGGTATTATATTCTAGACTAAAAGCTTTAATTACAAGATCATTTTTAAAAACAACATTTATAAGACAGAATTTATGGAAACATAACTTAAAAGAATATGATAATATTGTTTTATTTGGTGTTGATCAAATGGTATATTTTCTGTGTTACTCGTTATATACCAAAATAATTATGTAGAACCAATATAATTAATATAGTACAATGCTTACAGATGAAAGATGTTGAAACAAAGTTTGTTAAAGAGTTACAAGAAGATTGTGTGATAGTTACTTGCAGATTTCCGCTTCCAACTATGAATGCAATTAAAATAATTGGCGAAGGGGTTGATACTGTTTGGGTATATAAGATTGCAATGAGTTTAAAATAATGTAATAGGTATAGAATGAAATACTTATAAATATTGTAAATTAATATTATTTTAAACATTTTCATGCAAAAAGTAATTAATATTTTTATGATATTTAAATAATACGTAAGTTATATTTTAATACTTATGTATTGTTATTAATTAATTACTTACTTATTTTACATTCATAAGATAAACATTATTACAGTCATATAAACATTTTTGTTTATATCATCATTTGGTTTTTAATTGCATTATAATACTAAAAATAAAATTTTATATTGATTTAAAGTACTTAATAAAATTTAAAATTGTACATATTTAACATTCTGTAATAAAAAATTGAGCTAACAAATTTAAAAATCCAAATATTGGAATACTTATATGCAAAAGTGTAGAAAATATTGTTAATTTCTTTTGTTGTTTCAAAATTACCAAGTATAGTAAACTTGGTAAGGTGAAGACATAAATAAAACCGCTCAAGGCACCTGTATATCGTATTATTGTACCAATATAGGGCACAAACACTGCAAACAAAATACATATAGATACCAAAATAACATTAACTATAATAACACATCCTGTATCAAATGTTTTACATATTGATGTAAGTAACTGAACACGCATCATATATGCAAGTAATGGATAAACAGTTAGTAATTGAAAAAGAAGAACAATTCGAGCACCTACTGTCAAACCACTCCATTTTTGAAAGTTATTTAACAAGTTCTGTAAAGGAAATTTAATTTTATTTTTAATCCTTTTTTTATTTAGTAGTTAATGTACTTTATTACTTAATTTTACTTACATCTTCAATACATGATTTACTCAGTGGAAAACATACATAAAATACTACACCTACTACAATGTAAGTTAAAGTAACAAGGACATAAGCTACTGAAAGATCTCTTCCCTGCAGTTAAAAGATAAAACTTTTCAATAGTTTAATTCAATTTATAACAAAAAGGGAATACAATTACTTACATTTTTACTTTGATCATGATTGTTCTGTATTATAGTAATTATAATATTGTGAATGAAAAATGATAATGCCAACATTCCAGAGAGGGCAGGGAATGAGAACTTCAATGTCCAACTTCTTTCCCATTCTGTTTCATTCATATTAATACCCCATGAAAATGATTTAACCAAAATAAAGACAATCAAATATATCACTGACATGGTTCCTGTGAGACACATAAAGATATAATTTCAGAGAACAAAATATAAATTTAAAAATGAAATTCAAATTGTAACCTAAAGAAAATGTAAACTTTGCAAATCATTTGCTTACAGTATAATCATTAAAAGAAGGGAAAAAGACAAATATCATTTACTTACCAAGAGAATTAAATTTTGTAAAGAAAGTGGGACTATTAAAATTTAAGAATGGAAATATTAATAAACCAAGAAAAATGGGAACTGTTTTATACAAATCCCAAATTGGTCCCAAAGTATTATATGTATAATCATGAATTACTAAGTTTGTACTATTATGAATTACTTTTTTTGAACACAGTACTACAATTAAAATAATAATACTCATTAATATTTGAATATCTATAACATACAATACACATGCATACGCTTACCTTCTGATGAATAAGAAGTGTTATCATTCTTAGAATATTGAGATATTTTAACTATACTATCTATACAAAAAATAATATAAAACTTTGTAATATGTAATCAATTTTACATAAAGAATAAAATTAATTTATACATATTTACCATATGTGAAATTTACAGAATTATATAAGAAGTTGGACATTAGAATCCAATAAGCTATAGTTGCACCCAACAAAACTGTAATGCTAAAAGTTTTAGCAACATATTCTACCCATTTGTTAAGATATATCCGACATAATTCGATTACTTCTATACCTTTCTTTCCACCTAAAATATTAAATTATTATATTTTTGTATTGCCTTGCCTGAATTCATGTAAAAAATTAAATATTTCTTTACCATAATATTTATGTACAAGTAGAAGACAGTAAGCAGTATACAGACATAAACCGCTCATCACAAGTATTAGAATGATACCAGGAAAAAAACCAGCCATTTGAATACCCCATGGTATTGTTAATAAAGAGGAACCTAATATTGTGTTCCATATAGAAAATCTATAAGTATGAAAGTGTATAATTGTAAGCTATAATAATATTTATTTAGAGATTGTTACATTACAAAATATGAAAAGGGAAATATAATTATTTAAAAATCAAAAATATTTTAGTTTTTAACAGAAAGAAAATGAACTTAACGAAAAAATTTTCTTTTGTAAACTCAGAATTTTCATTTGACGAAATAAAAAAGACAAATAATTATTCAAAATGTTGAATATATTATTATAAAAAATTTGGAATTACATACAATATATTTATAATAAAGTGTATTTTACCATAAGTATACTTTAAAATTTTGTTAATTCAAAAACTTTTATGATACAATGTTATAAAATTTCATTTTAGTTGTAATTTAATACAAAAAAATGAACAAAAATAAAGCAATGATTGAAAACATTTTTGGCGTATCATAAATTAGAGCATAGCTCTTTAACTGGTTTCTAAATACATTAAAATTTATATTAATCGATGTTCAACCATAATATCTTATGCGGTTCCTTTGCTAGATACTAGCTACGGACATTGACCTTTTGGGTAGCCGTCTGTTGCCCAGGCAACCGACAGAGCACTAACCCCTTCTAATGTGAACATACCATGTAGTCGTCACAACCACCCGATGGTGGTCGAAACGTGAGTGAGTGATATTCACATTCATTTGATACTCCTATTCGTTTTCATGTCTTAAAACCATGCATTCACGGATCTTTAACTTTTTCTTTTTATATGAAAAATAGTAACATATCAATAAGTACAATATAAAATTTCTTTGTTCTATAATACTAATGTGTTAGGTGTATGCTTTTAAGATATGAAAACGAATGATTGTGTATCCAACTTTTAATAGTAATTAAAAATTTTGTATGACTGTGGAATTTACTATTACTGAAACACTTTAATATTATTTGAAATTCAATTTTGATCGAACTTGGTAAACAGAATTTCGATTTAAATAGGTAAGTGTATTTAATATGATTTAATAATATTTTACAATAATGAGACACCTAACTTTTGAATTTGCAATACTAAAAAATTCAATAAATATTTATAAAAAAGATTAAAAATTCAGTTTATGCAGTTAAATTAATATCCAATATTATTTTTAGTACTCCTTTAAATGTTTAAATTCAAAAAATTTTGTTACTGTAAGAATAAATTGCTTTCTTCTACATATATTTTTTAAAGAGGTAGATAAAATAAATTATCAATCTGTTGTGTTTAAAATGCATATAGACAATTTCTGATGCAAGATTTCATTTTTCTCTCATCATCGACCTACTAAAAATATGACTACCAAGAGATAACAAAAAATTTATGAATGTGATTAGATTTCTGAACACTGTTCTAAGAGAATTGACCCAGAACCTTTTCTTGATGATAACATGATAGCTGACAGTATTTATAATTAATACTATATTATAGTATTAATGTTAAATTTAATATTATATTCATGAATACATGAACAAAAATATTTACAAAAATTTCCTTTTGTTTATTTTTTTTGCTTTTCTTCTTTTATTATCAATGATAATATGAAATATAGAATTCTAGAAATATTTTTGTACTGTATAATATATTTAAATAATATTATTGAATATTATTGAATTTAGTTACTTACATTGTGACTAATGAGCTTTGTTTTGATTTAATATCCTTGCATGTAGTTTCTATAGTTTCCTGTTACAATAAAATCTAAGATAAACATTTAATTGTAAAATTTTCCAGTAATAAAATCATTTTGCTTATATTTCTTATAATCATATATTCCATAAAAATAAAGAAATTGTATTAAAATCTCACAACTCATTCAATGGTATTAAAAATTTTAAGTACAAATACTTTTACTAAGTATAATTTAATTGTTACAGTAAAATATAATTAAAGATAGTCATTCAATATTACTTGTATTCCACCTTGATATACATAAACATTGCAATAAAATATGCAATTGTATATCATTTGTGATAATCTTACCAGATCAGTATTATGGATTTCATAACATTTGTCTTGTGTTACATTTAATGAGGAAGAAGCATTGAGTACTAAAGGTGTAATTAAACTATGGTCTTCATTAAGAGGTGGTGGTCTTTTAGGTACTATGGTAATGTTAGAATGTAGACTACAGGTTTCTAAACTACCATACCTAGAAGAAATTATCCATTAAAAACCTAAATAATTATTATTGACAATAATTCTGAAAATGGTATTTAGTAGAAAATGTAATACTGTTTCACTTATAATAAATAGATTAATGAATAATAAAAACGAAGATGGTACTTGAAGAAACTATTTTTAGGAGTATAGTCTAAATCACTAGTTTCAGAATCTTGAAATATAACATGTTCTGCACTAGTGTGAGATCCTGAAGAAAGTAAAGGTGCACTTTCTGATCCACTATCATGCTGTATAATGCAAGATTTCCAATCATTTTTACATTTATACATGTTATATTTAACTTATATATATATATGCATACTACACAAATGGATCTATCAAAACAAAGAAAATATGTTATTAAATATTTAATTTATATATTTTAATTTGAAATAATACAGAAATTACTCACTTAATACTTGATGATGTATATTAATATATCCAAGTGTTAAGTTTCACTAAAACTTTTTGGAATTTAATGAATTAAGTTTGCAATAAATTATGAGTTAAAAATTAATTGAATGAAATTGAAATTCTATAATTTGTTGTTTACATATTCTTTCTTTAAAATTTGTATTAGCACAATAAAAGAATGATTAAAAATCGCAAATTTATTTATTTTTACTTTCTAAATTAAAATTTTGTCTATTTTTTATGTATAATATAATTACTATATTATGTTACTTTTTAAGGTATATACACTTTCGCGACTGTAACTTCAAGAAAACTGTTGTTTTAAACAACTATGCGCCTGTTTTGTAAATCTCCGTACTTATATCGGACATCCTTGACATAACAAGCTCCCTCCTCTTTATTTTTCTTCACTAATGCTGGTCAACATAATAAGTAATAACCATCCACGCGTGCGTGTACTTTTTACTTATATTTTTTCTTCTACATTTTCGAATACCGTTGAAAGAAAAAAGATATCAAAATATTTGTTGAATAACAAGATATAAGAAATTAAAATGACGTAATATATTTTTTTATTTAGAAAAATAAATTTTTCTGCGTTATTAAGTAATTTTCTTCATTGTTTTCATTGCATAAATGTTTCATAATTCTTGAAATACTAATAATTAAAAATTCTGTTGCATTTAAAAAGCGTAAATTTAATGAACGATATTGGATGAATTGTTTCTCATATGAGAACATTCTCAAGAAAGTTTGTATGCTAAATATATTCGTTTAAACATTCAAGCGATAAGACAAGTTTAGTTTAGCATTTATACTTGCTTACATGATTTATATTAAACGGAAACTACTACTAAAATCAATAAGGTGTTGATATAAATTTGTTATTATTGAAATTTGTTATCGAATGTTTACATTCTATTATCAAAGTTATATTGTAAAAGTATTTGTATATCACATTTAAAAGATTCATCTTTACAAAGCTGATATTATTAGTCAGTAATAAAGCGCGGGCGCAATGTTTCAAGATGGTGACCCATGCCCTTGTGTGTCATTGGTAGACAAAGTTCAGTCTGCTAGCAGGCATCGAGGACGTGTTATGAAACCTTCAAATCGTCAAATCTACATTTTCTTTATTGTATAGATTAATATACAAGCAGTTCTTCTTTGTTTCAGTTACTATCACATTAAGTGTAATATTTGAAAAATGTCAAACGTGGCAACGAGTAAAATTGTAGAAACCCAAATATACGACGGTCAAAAGCCGGGTACGTCTGGATTACGAAAAGCTGTGCGAGTTTTTAAACAAGAACATTATACAGAAAATTTCATTCAAGCAATATTGGAAGCCCTTGGAGAACAATTATCTGGTAGTACGTTAGTTGTTGGTGGTGATGGAAGATATTATGGGAAAGTGGTTGTCGAAAAAATTATTAGGATCGCTGCAGCTAATGGAGTAAGTTATTTATTTATTAAGAGTTTTCGTTTAATTCGTTCAGATTTAAATGCTATAAAACAGGTTAAAAGTGTTTTATTTTTTTAAACAACTATTATCTTTCCAGTTTTATTATTGCAGAATCATTTAATTTAATTCAAATAATTTTTGTACTAAGAATATATAAAGAAATAAAAATAAAAGATAAATTTTATTCATTGTAATAGGTAAAGAGATTAATTATTGGACAAAATGGAATACTTTCAACTCCAGCTGTGTCTACTATAATAAGAAAATACAAAACTCAAGGAGGAATTGTTCTAACAGCATCTCATAATCCTGGTGGACCAGATGCTGATTTTGGTATCAAGTTCAATTGTGAAAATGGTGGTCCTGCTCCAGATCATGTTACAAATAAAATTTATGAGATTACGAAAGTGCTCAAGAGTTATAAAACTATACCTGATATAGCTATAGATATAAGCAAGATACAGAGTACTATAATCCAGGTTGATGGAAATCCATTTACAGTAGATATAATAGATTCTGTGAATGATTATTTAGAGCATATGAAAAATATCTTTGACTTTTCTAGTATTAAAATATTATTGCAAGGAAGTAACAATCATCCTCCTTTTAAAGTTCTAATTAATGCAATGAATGGGGGTATGTAAAACTTATATTAATATAAATTTTATTGTTTAGCATATTTATGCAATGTTACATAATAATTTCTAGTTACTGGTCCATATGTAAAACGAATATTTAGTAATGAATTAGGTGTTGATGATTCAAGTATTGTTAATGCAATTCCATTAGAAGATTTTGGTGGACTTCATCCTGATCCAAATTTGACATATGCCAAAGATTTAGTGAATGCTATGAAAAATGGTCCATATGACTTTGGTGCTGCTTTTGATGGAGATGGAGACAGAAATATGGTAAACAAAATTTTTTAATCAATGTAAGAAATAAATAAATAGAAAATATCAATTTGTGCTTAATGTCCTTATAGATATTAGGCAAAAAAGCTTTCTTTGTAACACCTTCTGATTCATTAGCTGTGTTAGCTGCTAATTTAAATTCAATACCATATTTTGCAAAGACTGGTATTAAAGGATATGCTAGATCTATGCCAACAGGTGCTGCTGTAGATAGAGTTGCAGCTAAAAATGGTATTAAACTTTATGAAGTACCTACAGGCTGGAAATATTTTGGTACATACTAATTTCTGAGCATACTTTTACAGCATATGTTGAGTACATTTATTACATTTTATCAATGTTATACTATTAGGTAACTTAATGGATGCTGGTCATCTATCTCTTTGTGGGGAAGAAAGTTTTGGCACTGGGTCTGACCATATACGAGAAAAAGATGGCATATGGGCTTGTCTTGCATGGCTTAGTGTAATTGCAAAACTGCAGAAATCTGTAGAAGATATATTGTTAAATCATTGGCAAATATATGGAAGGAATTTTTTCACGAGGTATTACTATTTATTATATTTTACATGCTAATTGACGACATTTTTGAAAAAAGGACTTATAAACTAAAATGACAAATTGAGTAAATCGTATCAGAAGTTTTAATTCTAACAAAGACCAAATGTATACAAGTAAATAAAATGCTCCCCATTTATCTTAATTGTCGGAATATTGTTTAAATTTTAGAGGAATATTTTTAAATATATGGTAATTCATTAAAGAAAATTTACAAAAATAACGCTTATCAACCTGTGGATCCCTTTTTCAAAAATATCCTCAATTATTATTGTGTTCTATTTTCTAATTAAGTTCTAATTTAATAATTTTATACTATATGCATTAGATATGATTATGAAAACTGTGATTCTGAAGCAGCAAACAAAATGATGCAGCATATTGAATTAGAAATACAAAAACCTGGGTTTGTAGGTTCAAAATTAACATCCAATGGCAAAACATATATTGTAAAATTAGGAGATAATTATTCTTATATAGATCCTGTTGATGGGAGCCAAGCTAGTAAACAGGTATTGTATTCTGATTTGCAGGTTTTGCATAACATAACGATATATTGTAACAGTATGGATTTTTATATAACTTTATATGACAGGGTTTAAGAATTCTATTTCAAGATGGTTCCCGTATAATTTACCGTTTATCTGGTACGGGAAGTTCTGGAGCTACTATTCGTGTGTATATTGATAGTTACGAAGATGACCCAGCATCTTTAAACAAAGATGCTCAAGAAATTCTTAAGCCATTGGTTACTATTGCGTTGGAGCTAAGCAAATTACGCGAATTTACTAGTCGTGAGACACCAACCGTAATTACGTAATACATAGGTTCTTTATCGTTAACAATTACTTTATTAGAAGTATATAAAGCAGAGAAAAAAGAGAAAATGTTTTACAATAAAAGCCACTTAAGTAGAAGAATGTCACTTCTGACTCATCATTTTTTACACATGTCTTTTATGACATTATGAATTGCAATGATCTTGCAAAATGACATTATGTAATCGCATATGGTACATGAATCACAAGTTCGGTAAAATTATTATTATTGTCTATATATAGATAATTGAAATACTGTTCAATCACTAATATTTTTATGATTTTGGCATTAAATACTTGAATATCAATTATAACAATAGAAACTGTTTAATTATACAAAATCGTAAAAAAACGTTTGAATAATGTAATGTAATTCATAATGTCGCATGTGTAATTACTAAAGAACAGGTATTTTAACGAAATATTCAATATTATAAAAATAAATAGCAACGTGTTTCATACTTTTCTACACAGTATAGTAATTTTCTTATTTAATTATAAATGTTCTAACTCTGATATGGTTATTATATGTAAAAATATTTTTCTAAAAGAAAAATGAGAAAATTAAAAAGAAATTTTTGCATGAAACTCAATAATAAATCTAAGATCACGTGTGTCTTTATACGTGGAACTGTTGTTTGCTAAAGAAGTTCAAGCATGCATAAAGATGGAAATAGTTTAATCCTTCATTGTCTGTATAATGTTGCATAAATTTATAAAAACATTTAGTTAATTATATTGTAATTATGTTTTTAACCTAGTAAAGAACGTTGATTTTAAAATTGAGTAGTTTAAAAAATATAATTTGTTTATATAAAAAAATATTAAATATATCTGTTTGTATTTGCATTCTTATATGTAAAATAGTAAAGAATATGAATATACAACATTGTACGACATTTATCGAAGGGTTAATGAACAAAAGTATAACTTCAATTATAATTGAAACTAGTGTGTCATATTATTGATCTTTAACTATATTTTAATTTGTTTCATTATTCTTCCTATTTTTTTTTTTCCTTTTTTTTTTTTAAGATGGCGGTTGCACGTTTTAACGAAATAGGAGAGAAGTTTGTTATGAATTTCATATTATCTTTTTAATATTATAAAATTACAAAATGATTACTATCATTTCGATCAGATATATGTAAATGAAGATAAAAAGTATTAAAAAATTTATGTAACACATTTTATTTAAAAACAATTGTACCAAACATAAATTACTTATGAAAGTTGTAAATAATTGTAAAATGTTCATTTTTCTAATTGAAATAGAAAATTCATTTTAAACAGTACATGTTCAAAGTATATGTAACTTACTTTTTATTATCTTAAGAACAGATTAATTTATCAAAATCTTACATTGTGAAGTATTTTCTATATGAAGAAATTTAAAAAGAGCTCGTGTATTAATAAATATACATATGTATAAACATTGAATTTCAGAAACAAATGTCTTTTTTTTATATTTAATTTTGTAGATAGGAATTTTGTTTAATTGGTAAATATTAGTAGTTGTTTTATGTTATTGCTGTATATTATTACTAGCCATTCTTTATATTTATATAAAGAAGATAATTATTTCAAATATCATATAATGTAATCATTTAGTTCTATTCTTTTCTTACTTATATAGTGTAAACAAAATAACTATGATATACATTTTTTGTTATATTTTTTAATTATACAATGAAATACGAATTGATAAATTAAACAGGAATGTGTGTAAAAAGTGCTGTTTCAAATTTCTGAAAATCATGGAAGAAATACTTTTTAACATCATGATTTAGTGAAATTTGAAATTAATGAATATATTAATGTAGACTGAAAGTTTTTACCAATAAGATATTCGACACATCGTGTATATAATTATACAAATTAATTTGTGTTATAATTAAAATCATAACATATTAATAACATGGAATATAAAAATATAATTTTTGATAATACAAAATTAAATGGATAAAAGTGATTTTTATATAAATTTGTTTCACTTTACAATTCTGTAAAATATGCCGAATATCTTGTTAAAATTAATTGATAGAATAGGATATACCTAAAAATTTGTAAAAGTAAAATCAATATGATTGTGAAAGTGTAAGTGGTACAAACGAAGAGAAAAAATATAAAAATGTTAATTGATGTATGTAACAAAATTTATAATTGATATAATTAATTGAAAAGTTATTATAAATTTAATGATGTAAAAAACAACTATTTTTCTGTATGTATTACTTTTGTTAGTATAATATTTTTGATTGTTTTATTTTGAAATATTATCTTTGCAATGGAAATGAAACTGAGGAAACAAAAATACTGTAGAAATCTAATTTTAAAGTTTTAATTTATGAAGATACAAAATATTCACAAAATATGTATTATACATTTTAATTACATTTATTTTCATTTGCATATTCATTTGCTTATAAAGTTTTAAATAATGGCAGTATGCAGCAATATATACTTATGGAAATGGAATGTATTTCATAAAATGGAACTATGATATTGTATTGATATATTGGTGAAAATTTTAAACACATTGTAACTGCAGTACTTTTGAAAGAATTTCAAGAAAAATTTTGTAAATAGATGAAGGTAGGGAGGATACTTGGGGACCTGAGTCGATGCAACACCCATTCAATTTCATAGTTACATCACAAAGAGATGTAAAAAAGAAAGTAACTCAGTTATTTCCGATATTTTTGTTTCTTTTTATTATTAATTTATATATATACATATATTGATTGCTGTAATTAGTGAATAATAATACATTAAAATAAATAAGAAGAAATTCTTCTATTGGGTATAAATTCTATTGTGACTAGTGAATAATAATACATTAAAATAAATAAGAAGAAATTCTTCTATCGAGTCTAAATGAGTTAACTTTTAAACAATAAATTTTTTATCTTTTGTGATGTAACATGAATGCGTAACATGGTAATGTGTCATAGAGACCAGCAATGACTGCCGATTTTAATGTAAAACTATTAACATGTAACATGTGTATCATATTGAATACTAATTATTCATTGTAGGTATATGAATGAGTGGTTCTCCATAAACACGTGATCTTAGATTTTATGTTTTGGGCAGTAAAAATTATAAATTATTAAATATTGCACGGATTTTTCCAGATTTATAAATACTCTTTTATTTAAAAAATTGTATAATTAATGTCCACATTTTTATGAATAATATTTAATTAATCTATATTAAAATTATAAAAAATACCATATCAGAGATATGTTTTAAAGTAGAACAATTTACTTAAAAAACAAGATTCATTTCCATAAATTTTGTATAATGAGTACGTGCGTTGTTTATTGTTAAAACTAAATTTCTGATGGCACATTAAAACGTAAATAAGTTTAAACTTGATTTTTTAAATAAAATATTAATAAATTTGTAATACGTTAAAAGTTTTGCGATTTGTATATCATAAAGCAGTCAATATAATTTTTAATAAATCAATCTTTACTGAGTGAATATTTTATTATTATTTGAAATTACTTTTTCTAAACATTTTATTTCCGGTTTAATATAATTAGTAATCCAAAATGGAGAATTCGTTTGATATCGTAGTAAATAAAAATATTATGAAAGAACATTCCAGTTTTTGTTCTTCTTGCAATTCTATCTTACAATCTATACATAGCATTGGAATACCATCTTTTTCCGAATTAAATATAGAAGATAACATCACATTACAAATCCAGGAAAATGAGAATGTGGAAAATATCGGTATAATAAATGTAGATGTAAATGACTATATATCAGATAATCCTATTAAAGAACAAATTTTTTCAATATCAACATTTTTCTACTGTAGATTCACTGGTGATAATGGAACCTCATAAATATAAAAAGCAAGAGAACAACGAAAATGATGAGGACGGAACTGGTTGCTTTATAAATAAAAATATGAAATATATCGAATCATCGCATAAAGTAAATATAAATTTATTTAAAATTTTCTATTAAAAATAATTTAAACGCTATTTAAATATTATTTCTGGAAAAATAATGTTCATTGAATAGGACTCTACAGAAAAAAAATATATTGCATTATCTGATAATAAAAATAAAACTTTCCTGTTAGCGAAAATTAATTTAGATAATTTATCCAATTACGAAACGTTAGAAACAAAGATATTAAAAGAGAATTTATTAATAAAACTTATATCACCTATTAATGATGATTTGAACAGTACCTCAACAAATGTAAATATTTTAAACCGTCGTAAAATGATATTAAAAACTGCTAAATCAATAACATATCTTTGGTAAGTATTTAAAAATGTATAAATGTTGTTATTAATGAGTAAAATTTTTAATTGTGTTTTTTCTAGTAATCGTATGAACATTATACGCGAAATTATACTTCAAGAAATACATAAGAAATCCAATTAAAAATATTAAAAGTGTTTTTAAGGATAACAATTATATTTAAATAAAATTTTCTTATAAATGTTAATTTAATAGTTTATTGAACATGTAATTATTTTTTAAATATAAGCATTTTAGGAATTTAAAAAAGATATTATATATAAAAAAATCTTGATTTTGATATTTTTATCTAATTTATGTCAAATCAAAATCGTCTCTCTGTAACAAAAAAAGATGTACGAAATTAATGAGTACAATAAATCTAAACAATTATAAAATATCATATACTATAAACTTATTACTTACAGCATCATTATATTCCAATACATGTTTTTTAATAGCAGATGTATCTACCCAAGTGACAAAATCCTCCAAATTTCTATAAATTATACATATATATAATTTTATTTTTTTCGTTATTATTTAATGATAAATATTTAACACTTACCTTGTTACCAAAAATGCTGGATCTTTTACGACTTCTGTACCAACTCTAACATGGCCCTGTTCTATTAATTGTGTTGCCATTTTTAAATTTTGGCTCATTTTATTTCGTACCATAATAACTGGTAATCGTCTTCTACAAAATGAACTTGCATTTACTCTTTGTGTTAACAATAAATCCCATTTTGTTCCTATAAGTCCTAACATATATAATTTCTCTAATAATAATGCACTTTGTTCTATTCGAAATGGATGATCTGAATCAATTTCTTTAATTTTCTTGCCTAGTTCACGAATTTCTTGCGCTAATTTATTATATCTGGAATAATTACAAAATTAATCAGTTATATATATTTTTATGAAATATATAATTCATAATGCAACAATAAATTTACTTTGTATAATCTTCTCGCTTTTGTATTCGATAACGTTTTAAAATTTTTACTTCGTGCAAATTATTATCTGCTTCCCATGATATGAAATCAACTTTCTTTAGCAATTTCTGTTCATGATATTTTAACTTTCGTACCATGATTGAGAAGAAGAAATTGTTATTATCACGTGTGCAATATCACGAGTCCATTCTTACTGTAAAGTGAGGTTACGTTCTCACTTATTTGTATAATATTTAGACTGATTATACTATTGTTTTCTTTACATAGGTAGAAACCATTTTTTAAATATTTTTACATAAAAATAACTAATTGTATATAAAAAATTTAAAAAAATTTTTATTTTTATTGTTATAGAAATATATAACTATTTTATGATGCTATACAAATGTTCTGCATAATAATTTTATAACTCAAAACTTTTATATATTTTATTATCTTATGTAATACTAAAACATTTATTATAAATTCCTTTTCACTTTATCTTTATAAAGGTTGGATAAAATCTAAGAAGGTTACATATTGCAAATTACTTAAGACTAAACAATAAAGAATTAAAATTTATTAAAATTTACTCTCTTTATATTTATAATGAGTAAAAAAAATAATGAAGCAGTGCCAGGTGATGGTTTGCGTTCTTTAAAAAGTACAATGTTATTCCGTGCAGTTAATTACGAATTATATGTTAAACCGGTAAGATTACTTTATAAATTAAAGATTAATTCAATTAGAAATAGGGATATACTTTTAAGATACATGGTTTATGTAATAATTATTCTTAATAAATATAAAAAAACAAAGTTTTAAATATATTAAAATTTTAATAGAATTGAACTTTTGAACATAACACTAATAAAATATAAAAGTTAATGAGATACTGTCAATGAAATTAATATAATCAATTTTAATTTTTAGAATAAAGTAATAATGATTTTTGGAACTATTGCAATGTTTGGTTGCATGGGATACATTGCTTATATGCAACACAATTCTGATAATACAAAATCTTATTCTATGGTTAATGAAACAAGTGACTTCAAAAAGGAAACATCAAAATGGAGAATATAGTTTATAATATTTTATGTAAATTAATAATGTATTTATAAATTTATGTTACACAAAATATAATTATTATTTATAATGTTATTTATATACTACAATTTATTTCATTACTAATTATTAATATGCTTATTATTATATTCTTTATGTACATCTCTATGATATGTACATGAAAATATTTAACATTTTAAAAACATTTTGTCAGTATTTAGAATTTTCAATTTTTAGTATAATACATCAAATTTTAAACTTGTGTAAATATCCATTAAAACTAGAATAATATTCTTTTGATAGTATTGCAATTTTCACAGAAGTATATATTTTATAAAATATAAGTATCATAACTGCATTACATTTATTTCATATAAATACATAGACAATTAATCCTTGTCACTGCATATTCAAGCTGTGAACTTTGGCAGTATATACAAGGTTGATTAAAATTTAAATTAATTTTTACAAAAATTTTAAGATACTCAATTTGGTCCAGACTTTTGAACAAGGAGTGTTCTAAGCTTAAATTACATAACAATATTACTAAAAATATATATGTATATATTTAAATTTAAAAATATATACGTTTATAATATAATGTAATATAATTATTATATCATAATTATTATATATGTATATATGTATGTACATGTGTATACACACATTATAGCTATTTTGTAAATATTACAAATGCATATAACTTCTTTTTTATGTAGTATATAAAGACCGAAAGAACTTATGTTATACAGAAACTTTAAGAAATTGAATATACGTACTAAAATTAAGAAAAAACAAAAAACGAAATATCTGATTGCATGTGTTTTATATGGTACATGGAAGTGATATAGAGAATATTATTAATAGATATTAATTATATGTTTTATCTTTTATATCTTATACAATCTTTAATCTACTGGAAGCATTTAGAAAACGAACATTTTATTTCGAATATAAAATAAAACAGTATTATAAATATATTAAATGAAAGTTATATATTTTTTTGTTTCTTGCTCATTGACTAATTATATTAACTTCTTTATAGACATTAATTGTAAAACATATTAATACATATAACTAATTTTAATTCTACATGCAAAATATATGGTTTTAATTATTCTTTATACACCATATAAAATAATAATAATTGATTAAACAATATTTAGAACAAAATAGTAAATAGTAATAATAGCTTATATTGAATTTGAATAATTTCAGATATTAATTCTCGTAAATAAATCGCTTATTATTAAAATAATTAAAATCCTATGTTACATTTAGTAAATTTTCTTCAGTCATTAATAGTTTCATGAATAAATTGTATTTATACATATTGATTTATTGTTTAAGATATTGTATTGAATACAAGATACTTTATAAAACATATTTGTTGAATATAAAAACTGTATTTAAAAAAATATATTTCTTTGAAATATGTAAGAAACATGTCTATTTTTATCTATAACCAGGATCTTAGAATATAAAACATTTTCAAAAACTTGGTCTTGTACACTAACAGTATTGTTGATTGCAATATATTTACAAGATCATTGTGACATATGATAATTTTAAATTTTATTTTTTTTATCTAATATAACCATATTTTTAATAAGGACTTTGAGAAACATTTGTTTTTATCAGTCAAAGAATGACATTATTTAAAAGCAGAGCTTATTATTGACATAGAATATTACTTTTAAGTATTTAACATTTTCATTATATCGAAATTGGTAAAGATATTAAAAAATCATTTATATCAAAATCAACTTTTAGTATAAATGTTTTTTTGTTTCCCCATGAGCTCTTCAGCTCATTGGAAATCATTTTAATAATAAGCGATTACACTAACATACATATTAAAATTTGGCAATTTATAATACTCTGTTGGTATTTTGTACTTTTATAGACAAGGCGATTTTTGACAAAAAAAAATTAATTTTAGGATGAAATAAAATTTATATTAATTTGTAAATTTTTAAATAGTTCAATTTTCTAATATGGAAAATTTATATAAACAATATTTGATTAAATAACAGTCCTAATAAATTGAAGAGTACAATTGTAACAAAAATGTAACAAAAATATATTGCTATGAAAAATTTCTAGAATTTTAATACAATTTCAATGTATATAAAATATTGCCATACTTTAACAACGTTTCCAATACTGAAATTTCAGTTTCAATAATTTATACTTATTATGTCTGATCCAAATATCCATTTTAACATGTACAACTTTGCTTGTCTTGTGGATATAAAAGAACAGTTTCGTAAATCGCACTTGCCACATAATCTAAGTTGGATTCATTAAGTCCACATATATTTATTCTACCACTTCGTAACATATAAATGTGGTAATCGTTGATTAAACATTCAACTTGTCTCTCTGAAATAATATTTATCTCAATTAATCATATATAGATACTTCATATTAGAAAGAAAATGTGTTATTGAATGTAATCTTCTTGAATACAAACCAGTAAGTCCTGTGTAAGAGAACATTCCTATTTGTTTAGTAATATGTTCCCAAGATCCTGGAGTCCCTTTCTGAACTAATCTTTCATACAAACTGGTTCGCATTTCTTTTATTCTGTTGGACATTGTAATAATATGAAATTTCCTAAAATATTTTAATATTTCAATTTAGAATTTTAAATAGTTATTGTAAAATAAAATAAATTAATGTGGTTATTTATATCACACCATTGTTTAAAGAGATCTGGGTTCTGTAACACAGTTGCAACTATTCTTGCTCCATGATTCGGTGGATTACTATACATTCCTCGAACAATTAAAGTTAACTGCGATTTAACTTGGGCTATTTCCTTTGCATTAGACATAACAAGTACCAAATTTCCAACTCTTTCATTATACAAACCAAAATTTTTAGCGAAACTTTGAGCACACATAAATTCTATTCCACGTTCAGCAAACAATCTTACTGCATAAGCATCTTTATCTAAATCACCACTTGCAAATCCCTAAAGAATTATATCTTTTATGTTGCTCTTAAAATGATTCTATTTTAAGAATAGTGATATACTATTCATAGTACCTGATAAGCACAATCAAAAACTGGAAAAAGATGTTTTTCTTCAATTACATCTGCTATTTTGATCCACTGTTCAGGAGTTGGATCACAACCAGTAGGATTATGTGCACATGCATGGAGGATAATTACAGCATCTTCTGGAGCATCTCGAAGATCTTTAAACATGCCTTCTATATCAATACTACGACTTTCTGAATTCCAATACGTATATTCACAGGCTTTTTTAAATCCTCCATTTACAAACACAAGCTTATGGTTCTCTATTAACATATTGCACATTAAAAATTATATGAAAAATAAATGTTTATTTCATTGTTTAAGATTCATTAACACTCACCCCAAGTAGGTTTACTGTAATAAAAGGTATCATAATGTAGAATATGACTTAAAAATTCAGCAATAACACGTAATGCTCCAGTACCAGATAAGGTTTGAATGCCAAAGGCACGACCTTGTGCAATAATAGGAGAGTCTGTGCCTAACAACATTCTTGTTGCTGCTTGACTAAAAGCATCCAATCCCAAAACAGGAAGATATTCATGATTTTGTAATTCATCTGCAGCTAATGACTTTTCTACTTTACGAACAATTGGTAATACCCATGGTTTTCCTTCATTTGTACGATAAGCTATAAATAGTTTAACTAATATAATTTCTAGAAATATTTAGAATTATTTAATAATTTCATATCATTATTGAATGTTTAAATATTGATTATACTCTATTGTAATAATAAACAGTAGTAATAAACAAAAAGTTAATGTTTATGATATATGTTATGTAACCATCAGATATTTCTGGAGGTCACTCAAGAACAGATTCATTAACAATGTAACAAATGGAATATAATCAAAGTTTAGTTTAAACATTGATTTTTTATATATATTTAAATAAATTGTTTTTTAAGCTATTTATAAACGTTTATAATGTATTTATTTGCCTGTTACGACGTTAAATATTAACTTAAAAATATGTAACATACCTCCTATGGATAAATTCACTTTTTTTTCGTAAGCATCTTCTATGAAAGCTTTATGAAGTGCAAAAACTTCTATTGGCGGTCCTAGTTTAAGTCCACTAAATCTTGTGGTCATCTTTGTACCGTTTAAATATCGAATGATCAACTATGCTGCAACGATGTAAAATGAGAGTTAGCTGACTGTACCATTGTATATGAAATAACAAACACATTTACAAACGTCTTGTAATCTCTGTGTGCACGCTCTTAATTTTTAATTTTAGATATTAAAGATAAAAGCATATTTTATTTATCATATTCATATTTAATTACTGTCATAAAAAGCAATATACAATACAATTGCGCGAGTTCTGTAGTTAATGAATTTAAATTAATTTTATACTAGTATTTAACAAATGTGACGTTTGATATGTAATTAAAATTTCTAGTGTATGTAAAAGTTTCATTTTTAAAATATAAAATATATATTAAAATATATAAATA